AATCATTTGTATTCAATGTTGTTCATATTAATGACTTAATTCTGTTTGAAAACAATCAAACTATTGCTCAGCTTCATGTAATTTAATAGGATAAGTATCATGAAGTCTTTTAATTTGAATATCATGTGTGATATTAAATGTTGCTCATTATCCATGGTTAGAAATGTTGAATATATCTATTTTTAACTCATCAGACCAGATATACACGTGAATAATAGCATAAAAAAATTTTTTTTTCGTGTCAGATATAACATTTGACGTTGATGCATCAAGTAATATATTTGTTGCAGTTGAGATTGGAATCCGTTTTATTAGACTTGTTTGTTTATAGATTTCGTTAGAATATGACTAACGCAACTTGTTTAGTATTTATAGCAAAATGTAAACATCGTTCTCTAGATGGTAGAGAGTTATAATTGACTATTGAGCAGATGGACAGGGAGGACATTGAATGATTGATACTATTTGGAATAGTAGTTTAGTTGGTTTGTTTTCAGATTGATTTAGTAATAATGGGAATATATATATAGTCTATGATCTGATGTGAAGAATGACGAATTTTTTGGGTACACTGAAACTGAAAATAATCGTATCAAAATCTTACGAAAATTAAGTTAAATTTTCTGATATTGATTTTATTTGAATCGATATTTGACACTAATTTAGTCTAGAGTTATTTATAAAACTAGCGCCATCTATAATAGATTTTGATTCATATTTCAAGAATGGTTTGTTGTCAGATGCTACACCTCATATTTCTAGAATCAGAAAAATAAACTTGATTTTTGATACGAGTTTTATCCAATCATTCTTAGTTTTACTGGCTTTAAAGTTTACACGATCTTCGTCACCAAATCACATACTAAGACGGATTGTTGATTATCTACTCGATACGGGGTCGAACACACTAGAAAAAGTGACTTAACTTAAGACAAATTTAAGCAACGTGATTGGTTAATTTAGACTTAAGTCATCTCAAAAAGATGACTTAAGTCTGACTTAACCAATCACATTACTTAATTCAAACTTAAGTTAAGTCAGTTGTCTCTAGTGTGTTCGACCCCTACGCTGTAATATGGTACTTTAGAATTAGCAGTATTCATTTTTTTGGAAACAGAATCACACAAAAAATAATTTATGTTATCAAATAAAAAGACATAGAATGTGTTTCTTGATTTGATATTTCAAAGCAACGAACATTAATCAATTAATTATGAAGAGACGAATAAAATACTAATATTTATTAAATAATATTTATTAATAATGAAAATTATCTATATGTAAATATTTTGAAATAATGTAAAATAATTCATAAAAACTCGACAAATAATTTAAAATTGCTATAATTACAAAATTTGAGCACAATAGTAAACAAATATTAATTATCGTATGATTCATACCATCAGTATGTATTCATACGTAATATGATATCAATATTGAAACGTTTTTTTTTTCGATAGTATAATAAGTCATCATAGGTAATCATCACGTGATCACTCATGTGACCAATGAAAAGAGTCGTTAAATTATTGTCGTATATGCCTGTACTCATTTACATTTGCTTGTTTATTTCGTCAAGGTATTTAAAAAAGGAGAAACTATATTCCTTTAGACATATCGATTTATATTTCGTTATAAGCAAATTGATTTTATAATCATATACAGATTCCTGCTACAATAATTTTTCTTGTTTTGATTTATTTTTTTTCAAGGTTCTATGGGTTTTCTTACTTATTATAAAGTTGGCTCCATTTTATACAATGCTTATAATGATGGCTGGTTCGATCCTTTGATCAATGACGTCGCCTATCGTTATCCAAGATATTACAATAAAGTGAATCGATATCTACATTATCCAGCACGACATCATTGGTACTAATAAACTCATACTTCATCAAGATTTAGCCATTATTAATATACTGAATTTTCCTTTATTTTTATTTCAAAAAGATTAATGTAACATTTTTAATAATTTAATAAAAAACTTCTAAATAAAATAATGCTGGTAAAGATTTTAATTAAGTGCATTTGCATTATTTTTAACATAGTGTATGTGTTTACTGGATGTTGGTATCAGTCTGCTATCGATTCGCATCTGCCCAAGGTCTCAATCTTCTGCGATCAACAATACTATAGATGTAGTTAGTAGGAGACATTCTTTATTGTCCTAGAGGTGTTCTTCGACTTTGTAATCATAAGATATAGCATCGAAGTGAAATTTTTGACAAACCTTTATTAGATTTTTTTTTGGGATGTCAAGGTCTTTTTATTCAAATAAAGATGTTACAAAGAGGAAAGAAATTAAAAAAAAAAACAATCAGTACGAAGATGTATTGAAGGCTGGAAATGATGCTGAGAGACTTATTAGAAGTGTCTTTTGTCTCGACATATCTATTCAGAACATAGGTGGTTCAGAACTATGTGATGTAATACATGCTTTTAAATTTCATTTAATATGTCTTTAAAATGAGTTTTAAGCGTTTTATCATTGTTTGATTGAGATTTTCTAATAGCTTGATTTAGAAGTGTCATTGAGTATAACTGTACTCTAGGAATGTTGTTTATGTCATGGATATAATTCACAGACGTGTGGATAGGAAAATCTAGGGCTGCTCGAACGGGTGTGGGTGTGTAAGTGAAGTACTCTTACCAACACCAATACCTATGCTCACCTTCAAGAACATCACTGGTACAATGACACTCACGCATATGTGCACTACATTCACACCCCATAACGACAATTATATTCACACAGTCACACCACCTCCCACGCCCACACATCACAGATGAAAGTAAGTTTGGAGTAACTACTTGGAGTGATGCTTACTTTAAACTGGGACTCCGTCTAACTATATAATTTAGACATTTAACTTCGGTCCAGTCAGATTTTTATATATTGAGATATTAGCTAATCAGATAATTTCACTTCATAGCTCTCATGCAATGAGAGTTTTAAACGGGATTTTTGACGATGAGAATTGACCCAGTTATACCTTTTCTAGTATGTAAGTGCCGGTAGGTGTATGGAGCGAGTGTGGATGCCATCTGTTGTTCGTGCTCACTCCCACATTCACACCCTTATTTCTTTTTATCTTTTACTATGTTCTATGCTTTCAACAATCAGTTCTATGAATTGTAAAAAAATTTCATCTATCTTAATAAAAACTTGTATGGTACTGAATGATTTCTCTCATAAATTAGATTCATCGAAGAAAAAAAGTGATTTTCTTCAACTAACTCGGTGAGATGACAGATGAACCATTATCGATTAATTAGGTAAGACTCTATTTCATAAGAAAAAATGCAACATCTTGTAGTGTTGATGACTTGCTAGTATTTATCTTCATTGCTAAGAGAATAATCTTTGAAGACACGAACAAGTGTTTAAATGAGTTATCTTTCGTTTGTTCATTTAGGCTTCATTATTGTGTTGGATATACGTATCAGTGAACAGAAGAACGGCAACCAGATGCATAACTATCCTTGAATGTGAATTTCTTGATGAAAAATTACAACAACTACATCTGAATTTTTACTTTATAGCAAGAGACTTATACTTGAAACGAGCAAGAGCTTTGTTCAATTTTTTATATGAATATGAATTTATTCTCCATGTTAGACTTAGCTAGTAGAAGGTTCATCTATCTACAGTCGGAGACAAAAGTTGAAGTGAAATTAGTGTTTTAATATTTTTTTCACATTTTTTTTCATATCAGGAGGTATATATACCAAAAGATACACCGATGTGACATACTATCACCAGTATGTGATATATCACCCTTACGTTATTTCACTCTTACTTCATATCATCCTTGTATAATATCAATCTTTTATCCTTACGTAATACTGTTCATAGTGTTCAATACTTTTTCACTACCTTTGTAATCGCTGCGCTATTCACTGCATATATGCTCATTGTTCTCTTTTCACTCCGAGAGACTACCGCGTTAAACAGATGCAAGGACAAATCGTTGAGAAGAAGAGAGAAGAGAAGAGAACAATCGAGAATATTCTCAGTGGATATTGCGCAGTGTGAAGGATACAACATACTCGAGGTTACACACCTTGTTGGATGGTATATATATGTTAGTGTACAAGTTCATATGTATAATGTGTGTTAATATTGAGAGAGAAATAAAACCACGTACAACAAGTAACGGAATTGAGCTTGAGGGTGTGGGTGTGGATCATATCTTCATCTACACTCTCACACCCACACCCTATTTTTTTGCTTTTTTCACAAATTTAATAAAAAATCTCACAAAAAATGGCCTTCTTGAGCTTTCAAACATTTTTCAATATGTTCAGACATACTGTCTACTAATGCTCGATATAATGTGTTTGGTATATTGTCCCATTCTTCTTGTAAACGTTTTTGTGAATCTGTCTTGGTATTAATTGGTTTTGATGCTAGTTTCTTGTCAATAATGCCACATAACTCTCCAACGACATTCAAATCTGGGCTCTTAGGAGGCCCTTCAAACATATTAATTTTCAATTTTATGATTTTTTCTTTAACTATCTTGCTAGTATGCCAAGAAGCTAAATCATGTTGAAATCAGTACTTCTTTCCTTTTAGTAATCGTTTAATTGATGAAACTAATTGATTCTTTAAAACGTTACAATATTTTGTCAAGTCCGTATTATCGGAATAAATCAATACTGATGTATTACCATAGCCACAAATAGCACCCCATATTACCTATTTTTCCTCCATCTCCTGTGTTAATTTTCTGGATGCAATCGGGAGCGAGTTTTTCTGATTTAATTCGCCATACCACCATCTTATTTTTACGTTTCAAAACGTAATAAGTTGATTCGTCACTGAATATAATACGACGCCAATCTTCAATTGTATAAGATCTAAATTTTTTACACCAAGTAATCCTTTTTGCCTTATGAATCTTGTTTAAAACTGGCGTGTTGATTTTCTTTGTATAAGTATATCCCATTTTATGAAGATAATGTCGAACACTTCGTAAAGAAACACGTCGAGTCGATCAATCATTTAATTTTTGTGTAATAATATTGACATTTGCTTGGTTTTCTCCATTTATTAGGCGCTTAAGATGACGAGCAGTCCTTGGTGTAATTTTCGATGGACGACCCATTCGTGAAAGATCTTTGAACGTACCATGTTCACAATAACGTTTAATAGCATTTTTAACGCAAGTCCATGAAATATTAAGTTGATGACCAACATGAGAAATTGTAAATCCAGTATCAAATAGAGCAATTGTTTGTGCATGTTTGTACTCCCTAATTGATTTCATACCCACTTTACTTCTTTATATAACGACAAGTGTTATTCTGTCTTCCAACTCAACTTTAATTCGTCAATGTCCTCTCCTTTTATACATCGGTCACGAGAGAGAGCGCGAGAGAGATGAACTAACAACATAGAAATCTATCGAGAGTGAGATAACATCATTCCGTACAGATGGACGAGGAAGAGAGAAATGACCACTAACGACTAGAATTATTGGCACACTTTACTTCGGTGAATTTAATCTAAAACAAAGATTTTTCTTCGTAACCATTCAAGCATTTCACATGTCTAATTTATTTAAAGATGAAGCAAGCAACTAAAACGACACTATGGATAAATTAAATGTCTATAATTTCTTTCTATGTTTATATATTTAATCGTACTCTAATCGCATGTGCTAAAGTAAATAACACGTGAATTTCGAACAAATAAATGATCTTATTTCTCCAGATAGTAAGAGAGATCTCCGCCATTTATCTCTCGTCTTGTGAAGCCATTACCCATGAATGCAAAACGATTGGCGCTTCGATACTTGATGGTAAAATCTTCTCCACGTAGCACATCGAGCATCTCTTTGTAATGCAAGACTGAACCAGGGTACATGGCGACCTTCCCGTCAATCGTGTGATTCTTGTACCAGCTTCGACAACCACCACTCCAAACTGTTCGTTTCAAAAATTCTTGTGCATAAGTGTTGTAATCATCGACAGCGTCTTTTGTAACCTCGATAGAATGAATGTCTTCTTGTTGAATTTTTTGAGCCCACTTAAGGATGTAATCTGCACTCCATTCTATACAGGCAAGTAGATTCCCATGGGTGAAAGGAGCGTTTGGACCAAGAAAAACGAAGTAATTTGGAAAGCCATGAGCAGCGATTCCAAAGTAACCTTCGGGATCTGTCTTCCATGTCTGTGCGAGATCTACTCCATCACGTCCAATAAGTTTCCAAGCAGGACAGAAAGAAAGGTCAAATCCTGTTGCACAGATAATGGCATCCAAATGGTGATGCTTGTTATCAGCTGTCTGTATACCGGTTTTGGTAATACGAACAATATCAGACATCGTCACTTCGACATTTTCTGAAGTGAGTGCCTCTAAGTAACCTTCACCAGGTGTAAGTCGCCGACATCCAACGCTCCATTCAGGAATTAACATTGCAGCAAGTTCTTTGTTTCCACCGAGACGTTGCAACATAAGCTTCTTGATAGACTCCCGTGCATTAGCCTGTTCTGACGAGTCTTTTAGCGAAGTCACGAAAAATTTATTGAAATCTTGCTCAATTACTTTTCGTAATGCAAATAGTTTCTTTGGATTCGATCGAAATTCAGCCTTTTGTTCTTCGGTATAGTTGAAGTTTTTTCCATCGGCTCCTGCAAATTGCGATACAAAATTGGGACTGATCCAAGTCGGAGTTCGAATAAAGGTAGTGAGATGAGCTGCAATGGGTTGGATTTGTGGAAGAATTTGAATTGCGGATGCACCATTTCCAATGAGGCCAACCTTTTTATCCTGAAAATTGTAGTCGTCAGTCCATCGAGCAGAGTGCACGAGGTAACCTTCAAAGTCCTTCAATCCGTCAATATCTGGCCATATCCAATTGCTAAGACATCCACATCCGTTGATGAGTAAGTCACCCACATCCTGAATACTCTTCCCATCCTGTTCAATGTGAACATGCCATTTGCCATCCAATTCGTTCCACTCCGCACCAACAACTTTAGAATTGAGCTGAACATCTTTTGTTAAATTATACTTGACTGCCGTCCTTTTAATGTACGCAAGAATCTCAGAACCGCTGACATAGAACGAACTCCAATCGGGATTGGGTTCCCAAGTAAAGACGTATGTATGTGCTGGAACATCACACACAAGACCAGGGAATCGATTCTCATACCAAGTACCACCAATATCAAGATTCTTCTCGTAAATAACATGTTGAATGTGGTCGCCAAGTTTGTATTGGTGTTGGATTTTGTAGGCCATTGTAAGTCCAGAGAAACCTGCCCCGATAGTGATAATTTTGAGCGGTCGAGGTTGACCACGATATTGTTCTCGAATCGGTACCCAATTGCTTGGTCGAGTGGGCATTGACGAATGCGGTGGACTTTCCGCTGCTGCTGCTGCAACAATTCTTTCAACATCAGATAGTGCTATGTCGCCTTTTTATTAAGGAAGATATTCAAGAAAATTATTTCGAAGAGAATGCATTCATCGATTTGTATTCACATTCCTTACATTTACAAAATGTGGGATCCGATAAAGAAAGTATGCAGCATTGTTTAATTTCCTGCTTTCATCCCGAATATGTAAGCACGTTTCTATTATGCTCTTAGTATCATTTACAAAAGCAAAGATGTTTTGGTGCTATGGTGAACTAATAAGCATATGAGACTGCGCTATAGATTGGTTCACGGTAGTTCAAAAGGAGCTGATCTTCCAGCATGTCAAAGCCGTACAAATAAAAATTGAAAAAGCATATCTTGAGGCAGAGATGAGCACATGACAGGACATGCTGCAGGATTGAACAGGACAGATGACTTCTTTCTGCTTTTTAACGACCCATTTATGTTTAGAATTTAGTCAGTTTCCTTTGCATATTACTTTCCCTAATTAGTAATAAGTTTTTAATTGTTCAAAATGATCAATAGCGATGTACGAATATGAATATGGAACACTTGGACAATACCTTACGGATGCAATCAGTAAAAAAAAGCAATGAAAATCTTATATGAGAGAACAGTTGTCTTATCTTATTTCTGATCGGTTGCTTTCTTTCTTCTCTTATATCACTTCCATTGTTGAAATGACGTGAAGCAACCATACGGTTCTTTTCTTTCTACATTCTGGAACTCTCATAATGAATTCAAATTTAGTATCCTAGCCTGAAATTGATAGGAAAATAAGCTCGTTGTAATTTGCCCACTGTACGATATGAAAACTTGTACTATCTTTGCAAAGAGATTGAATGTATGTTTCTGGTTTGTCCTGCAGGACATGATGTCCTGTGTCCTGTCCCGCAGCAAGACAGAACGAAGAAGAAAACGTTCTACGCTCAACTCTCTTTTGTAGTGTCGCGCTCGATGTTCTGACTTTTTCTCTGTCTTTTTATATTGAACACTCAACTTTCGTAATGTAAACTAATCAGCTTCAAAGCTATACAATCTTGAAAATTCGAATACCTGCAGCAATAGGTTTGCAAATGATAGCAGGAGCATCATAGAAGCACTCTTAACAACCGATGGAATATTTTATGAAATGAATTCTACCGAAAAATCACTAGTTCTCCTGTGTAAAGCTATTTTGGACAATAGAGACAACTGCTTGTGATTTTACCACAAACTGTCAGAGCTTATTTTCTGTCATCTTGTCAGCAGTCGTAGAGTTCAAGCTTGAGAAATCCTGATTTTTCACTGTATAGTATTTAAACTATCTAGTTAGGTCAATATACAGGAAAGAATTCCTAAAAAAGAGAAACTTCGCCTGATGCCGCTTGCTCAATTTGAATAAGCGAGCATTCGCATGGAAATACGAAAAAATAGTTGTCTTCTTTTCTTTGACTCCTAGTGCTATGAGCAATAAATGTACGGTAAATATGTATTGTTAAGAAAGAAAAAAAGTACACTTACCTGCAAGGATGACTTCCGATTGAGCAGAATCCATTTTCACTATGATGATGATTCGAAGAGATGGGAGAAAAAGAGAAAATGGAGCGAACTTTAAACAGAGATCTAGAAGAGTAAAGAATAAATATTAGAGCAAATCATTTCAGTATGCTTCGATATGTGACGAGAGATCCAATGACATTTACTTCAACAACCGAGCGAACCAAAATAGTACCTAATGATGAAACAGGTTTCTGGTGAATCCAGAACGGATAATTCTTTGTAGATCATACTATAGAAATATCACGCTTTGAAGAATGAGAAGGTTTCAGGATGGATGTTGTAAATTCCATAGTCAATAAGGTTATCGATTTAAATCTGTCGAAAGTACTTCTTGTTTTACCTTACATAGTGCCGATACTTGGAAAACAAACCTTCTGAGGGTAAGATGCTTTTGTAAAGAAATTTGGACCTGACCAAATTTTATCTGTTTATGACGTTGCTGAAAAGTGAAAATAGATAAGAGAGAAAGAAAAGATCAATTTAATCAACTGACTAACAACACACGAACAAGGATTTTTATATTTAAGCGAGAAGAGAGAAAGGGAAAAGAAATGATAAGAAGAATGGCGGCCCGCAACAAAGAGCATATGTGGCGAAGGATCACGTCGCAGTGATATAAAAAAGAGCAAACAAAAAGAAAAACGAACTGTGTATGTCTCACACTTTTGTATACCATGTGAACTGTGGTCTTTATGTAACTGAAGAGAGGACGTCATCGAGAAAATAACTACTTACGATACATCTTGATTGTTACTTCAAACATGAAAAATTGACGACGAATTCTCTTATTGCACTGAAAACGAACTATTTGTACATCATAATAAAGCATGTCAATCGAACCAGGAAATGAGTAGTAACACATGTGAAATCAATTGAAGACTCAATTTTTACTTGCAATTGAAGTTTGCAATTAACGGTACAGACAACAATAGAGAACGAGACAACATTTCACTGCTCTGCTCATTTACTGCCTCTTTTAAAAAATCAGGCACAATTCACTCACCATTTTCTCTGCTTATTTTTTTGTTGCTTCCCACAATACAATAGTCATCTCAAGAAATATGAAAATAAAAAAAACCTAGCATTGCATCAACAACAGTCCATCTTCAGGGTGTGGGTGGGCGTAGGTATTGTTGTAGCTCATTTCTTTACCCACACCCTTATTGTATATAAATATATACAATAATTTTCTCGTTTTGTGATGAAGCAAGTACAATTAATGATCATGACTAATCATTAATGGAATATTTATTTGGTTTATTACTAATTGTTATTGAATGATGGTATGATATACCCTAAAGTGAGACTTGTATTTGATCTTTATAATATGTTATTGTACTAATATTATTTCAAATTAAAAATCATCTTTTAAAATATTTTGATATTAGTGTTGACTGAAATAATTCTTGTTATTCAATTGATTTCTTTTTACAATCATCAATAATACATATTCAATCCATTTTGAAATTAATTCTTTATCATCTATTTATTATATTCTATATTATTTGATATTGGTCCAAAACCTTAAATCAAAAAAGGGATTCTCTATTAAGCATGAAGACCTTTGTTAAATTTACTATCATTTCCACTATTTGTTGTGATTTTTTCAATTTCAGTTTTTTTTCTATAAATATCAAATCAAGTATTTGAAAGCTACGAGAAAGATACATATTCTATCTGACAGTATTGATGTTAGTTTGGTACGATATTCAGATATATCAGCATGCACACATTCACTCTAAAATAAATCAAGAAATATCTCAAATTCAGAAGCATAACTCAGCACTGGAGACATCAAGGTTGGGTGCAGAGTAATTAAATACAGACAAAGGGGTGCTGCTGAACATTATTTTCAAAAACAGGAGGAAGCTATATGAACGGATTTTAGAAGCGAAGAGAGAGCGTCATGTCCTATGTATCCCTCACAACTTTTATGCTGTTACTCGGATTAGACATGAAATCTAACATTTCGTCAGAAAAAATTATAAAGAACACAATAGTCATTCGCTATCTCTTCTGTTGCTCTTTGTATACTACTAGTAGATTCCGATTCAAAATATATTCGAAGGATTATTTCACTTAAGATTCGATTGAGTTCTGGAAATATGATCTTGTATAAACAAGGGAGTGCAGAATTAATGTTACTGAGATTATTATGAAATAACAAGAATAACAAAACGATCTGTCCAATCATGACGGAATAATATTTTTTCACTTTGTCTCTTAAATATCTCATCATAGCTATGTCTAGTTAGACTAATATTCTGAAAACATATATAAATTGGACTGCTCTACACATTGTAAAATTTTCATTAGATCTGATCTTTGTTTTGCATATTTATGATTGAAATATACAGGGTGTTTCATAAGTTTTGAGGCGCGACAAAATTCGTTTATACTAACATACAAAACAATATCTTATCATTATATCTCTATATCAGCTTCGAGTAGTCGTGACGACCATTCAAATGATATATCATAGAATAACATCTTTCCTTATAATGATAAAAATATAAACATGAGAATATGAGGATAAATTTTTCGAAATTGACCAACAAGATATTTTATTAAAAAAAAGAAGAATATTCTGTTTTATAAATACTTATATCAAACTGAATACACAAAAAAATCTCATTTAACAATCACATATTTGTTCTCCAATACTTCATCAATTTTCTTAGAAATTTTATTAATCATCTTTTTACAATTATTACAAGTTATTTTTTTTTAATTTTTTGTTCAGTCTAGTTTTTAGTTGTTTAAACTTTGAAAATTGTTCTCCTCATACTTTTTTTAATGGACTATACGTCAACAAATTCAACATCAACTTCTTCAAGTCAAATTCGATTATTAAATAATTTATCGATTGTTCAAAATACAATCTCTGTTCTTTATTTTTCGTTTTGCAGATGACATTTTCATATATTTTATTTATTTCGAACCGGTTATTGAGTATATAGCTTGGCTGAACGTGTAACAGTGACTCATGATGAACACCGAATAAGATAAATATTTATTGGTTTTTACTGCATCTTTTTTGTGTAGAATATGTTCAGCACTTTATGAAAGAGTCTGTAAAAAATTATGTTAGTCGATTTTGCAAAATTTATATTCACATTCTTAGGTTTATATTTTTATTCCTATAAGGAAAGATGTTATTCCATGATATATCATTTGATAGGTCGTCACGAGTACTTGAAGCTGATATAGAAACATAATGATAAAACATAGTTTTGTGTGTTCATATAAACGAATTTTGTCGCACCTCAAAACATATAAAGCACCCTGTACTTTTCCTACTATCATATTGGTTCGATTTAATACTTGTTCAACTTTTTCTTTCTCAAAGAGTAAGATAAGATATAAAATCGTTGTCAGAAACTGAAATCTTTTTCATCTATCCTTTATTTTCAAGGCATGAATATATATATTTAACAACTCATTTAAATCAAAAATAACATTGAAAATGGGATTTGAACAACTGTATACTAAAACTTGAAAGTATAGGGAAACAATCTAAAGAAGTACTACATATTTGACTCTTGTCATCAGACATAAAAATGAACATTCTTTGTTTTGTTAATCTAGATGTCTAAAGATCGAATATATTATAGAGGAAAAACATACATTATATTGACATTTGTGAATGCTTAGTAAATTCTGACATATATTATAAAATATATGGAGACTCAATTTTTATCAGTGAAATTATTTGATATTCGATGATCAATAATGTTTAAAAGATAGATATTCTTTGTGACATTTGCCTTTGAAACATTAACATGTAACCGTAAACATATGAAATAGAATAATTTTGGATTTGAAGGAGAGAAACACGTAATAAACTGGATTTAACTTTTTTTTTTACAATAGTGAGCTTGTTTTTTTTCTTTTTCGTGTGAACCAAATATGTGTTGTAGCTTGAAAATATTGTATAGAATAGTTACAATTACGATGTTTTATTTTGACTTTTTGTTTTAGATTTAATATATTTGCAATTACACTTTTAAACGAAGGTATTCAAGGAAAAGGATATGCGAAGTCTTTAGCCAACAGTGATTCAAAATCAAATTCGGTCTCTAGCCAGTTGATCAGTGTCCGTTTTATTCCATCTATCATGCAGCTATATATACATATATATATATATATACAGAATCATAACACTAACGGAAAACGACAAAAAATTCGCATTTCGCGTAATGAAGTGGCATAAAAATCGATTCATTTCAATTCCATTAATTTTCAAGAAAATGAGTTTTAATCAAAATTATGAAATTAAATTGATAAAAATGACTGCTTCAATAAATAGAATTAAAGCACATCAATTCTTAGATCTGTTGCATCATTTAATGCAATCATTTGATTTTTCAAATTCATTAGCAGAATTGTGAACATATGAATATTTGTCTGTACATATATACGGAGAACATAGGCACTTTTGATGGCTGTCATAAGGTACTGATTGTGGAAAAACGTCTATAGAAGGAAAGTCATGAAATGATCTAACCGAAAGTGAAAATCATAAAAAAAGTCTGTGTGGGTGTGGGGTAACCATACCCAACTGGTTAGTTATCTCTTTCTTTCTTCAATATGGATTGTACATCAAGAATAATTATTCTTTTGCGACAGACTGTAACCGATAGACTGAATTAATACTTTTATTATTGTTTATTTGCTACACTAGACATATAAATATTCCATACAGTACCAGCAGCGGAACCAACAAGTGGTCGAAAATCTAACGGGACAAAACGAAAATTAAGAAACGAAACAAATGGCCAATAACACGCACCAGCGAAAAGTGTACGTGGCATATCTTTCGACACTTTTTCTTGAGCATCAGACAAAGATTGTCCTTTCAGAAGTGTGATCGAAGTAAATACCAAGGAGATACCAATAGGTGCCATTAAAATATTACTGAGCATTTTTTTCGCAATCTGGATAGATTGTTTTCCTAAAGAATAAAGAAACAAACAATACGATAATGAGTAAAAA